GTGACGAGTCATCTACCTTAACGTCCTTAGGAACGATTTCATCCTATTAAATCAAGAACTAAGAAACCCCAAATATGTGTGATAACAAACTTTCAAGGTCTAGTATTTAAATTATTGAAAACATGCATAACATTTGACAATAAATCAAACTATTTAAATTATCTACATATTCTATACTTGTACAACTTTCTACCAACTAGACTTGCCTTTTATCGTATACCATCTAGGTCATAATTTTTTTTATAACCGTGGATGTCCGGGCCAACTTGATCACATCTCGACTAATTCCACGGGATCCTGAAGTTTACGGTCAGGTACTCACCTCAGTGGCCCTGAGGGGACTCGAACTGGTGACCATTGGGGAGCAAACTCAAGGCCTGACCAATTGAGCAACCCATCAGGGTAACCATCTAGGTCATAAANCTCAGTGGCCTTGAGGTGACGCGAACCGGTGACTATTGGGGAGCAAACTCAAGGCCTGACCAATTGAGCAACCCCTCAGTGTAACCATCTAGGTCATAAAATAGCACCTTCTAAGAACCAAACACAACTAACACGAACAAATCCGACAACAATATGCTAGCAACACATTAGCTTTATTTCTAATGAGCTTGAATTGACTATATGAATCCTTTTTCTGCTACTCAGTTCATTACTCTGAAAGGGCCAATAGATTTAAAAAAATATATCTGTTACAGTTCACAGTCACCAACTCCCGAATCGTTCTAAGGGTATACATATTCACGGGAAAACCTTAAAATACAATCAACTAGGTTATCCCTGCATAATAGACAATTCTTGATCACACCATAAACAAAATATCTATATTTTCCCCAAAAAGAAACGTATTTCCTCTCATATAATCATTAGTTACACACAATAAAAATTCTGCAACAAGAACCCAATTGACAGAAATTAAACACCAGGTCAGCTTCACAACATTTGCCATACCTTTACTATTCAGGAGGAAATTTCTTACCGTACATAGTACGAGTCCTGATATACTTCTACAATACACACTCATATACATTCATACCCACAGAGCACATGTATTTCTACACTTACGAAAAAAAAAAGGCTTACAGCGAAGAGGAGGGTGGCAACGATGGCCTGAACCGCCTGTTGTAGGAGGACTCCTTTAACTACATCCTTTTTTGACACCAAATTCTTCTCATCTTCATCTTTCTTACTATGCAGCCTGTAATTCTCCAATGCACCAAGCATCACATACATCCCTGAGTATACCCAGTAAACAACAATTGGAGCAATTGTTCCCAATATTTCATCTGAAATCTCTAAACCCCCTTTAGTTATCTGCATATTTAGTAATAATTATTTTATGGAAAATTCCGAAAATCCCGATTTTGATTTATGGGTTTGTGTTTGTGAAGGTAATCAAATTGGAATCAGAAAGAACAGAAGAAAAAACCCAATTCAAAAATCAGAATGATTATTGATCTGGGTTCTTGGGGTCTTGGTCTCCTGAAAATACCGAAAGTGGTTATATAGGACATTATTGTTAAGCACTCAATAATTCATAATTATATGTGGTAGAAAGAATCCGATTTTGAGCATAATTATTAATTAAACATGATCAGTTTTTTTATTGGAGAAGTGTCAACTAATTTTTTTAATTGTTTAATATAAATTAATTTATAAATAAAATGCGGAATAATTTCATATATTATAAAGTGAATTAATAACTTTTTGGATTGCCCAAAAAAAAAAAAAGGAAATCAACTTTTTTTGCAAATTCAAAGAAATTTCTGAAAGACTTCAAAGAAGAAAGAAGAAAGTCAATTTATTCGTCAAAAAGTTGGCGCAGATGACGTGGCAGAAAGCATCTGTTTGGTGGTCAAAATTGAGTGGCTTAATTTTGACGCAGTCGTGGTCGTTCACTTCATACGATTATCTCGTTCCTTACTAAGAAAGATATTAGAGCTTGTAAACTAATAATTTTAAAGATATTTATTTATTTGTAACTTTCTTTTTAAAAAGTATAGTAAATAATAAATAATTAGACGAGATTTCGGATATATTATTTAACCATACATTTTCTAAAAAAATCATTATTTAAAATATTATTACTATTCTTTTTTTCCAATAATCAAACGGGAGCTAAATCTCGAGTGAGAGATCGAACTTCATAAAAATATTTCAAATGATGAAATTGAAATCTCATCTATTGTCTTCAAAATAACAAGACCTAATAATAAATTTAAATTTTAAATAAAGATTTTAACGTATCTAGTTCTATTATAGAACTTGTTATAAATAATTGTTCAAGTATAAACCATGTAAAAAAAATTATTGGGTGAATAGCATTATTCCATTTAAGTTGAATTGGCACTTTTTAATCACAGCATTATTCCATTTCTTAAGACAAAACTAGAAGATAAGTAGTTAACAGTTAATTTATTTATGCAAAAGTTCGCATTGAATCTTCTATCAATTCCTCCCCAAAGGCAAAAATTCCATCTAACCAAAGGAATTGTATTTCTATTGACATACAAAAAGTGTAGCCCAAATTGAATAGCTCAAGGAATGAAGCCTATTTGGAAAATCCAAGGCCCAAATAGGACAATTAATGAATGCAGTTGAGGCCTACGAACAAAGTAACATCATCGCACAAGCTTGCAAGACACTCATGATCTGAGCGAATGAAGTGCCTTACGATTGTCCAGAGCGATGATCCCATTCTCCCCTAAACCTTTTAGTCGCCCAAGATATGAGCGAGTATAGGGTATTATGGTTATTCAACACAGTAGTTATTGAGCAACCTTATCACACCCCACGATCCAAGAATCCCGATTGTAGGCAGTTAAACGACAAGAGTGATGACAACAGTTAGAGACGACGGTTCTATTGACAAGTCAGCCATCATGAAGAAAGTGAGTAATTATAGAACAACAAGCAGTTTTCAAGCAGTTTTTTCACAAAGAAACTATCAATGGAGTATAAAAAGGAAAAGAGGACATAGAAGAAAAGACTTCGAATCAAACACTCTCAACAGAGAATATGTAATTTCAATTTCTTAGTTTAACTTTAAAACATCTCTTTTTAGTACTCGTGTGCTTGCGCTCCTTGGAGGCAGTGTTTACTTCCAATTGTAATTTTCATCAATAAAGTACCCATTTTTGGGATTTTGTCTCAAAAGATTTGTTCCTTATACAATCATCTGAACATTTTTTAATTGTTAGCGATAACTCGCACGAAACAATTTCTTATGTAGCTTCCACACTGTTTTTCACAAATTTTCTTCACGAAGTTAAGAATTGGATTGTCTGCTTCGTTACATAGGAGCTAGAGGATTAAAATTCGAAATTATTAGTTTATGCAAAAGAGTAGCTCCGTTTAAACCACAATTTCACAAAGTTTTTGAGATTATAAGTTAGTGGATTACATAAAATGTGAAAGAATTTATGGGTACAAGTTTAACCAATTTATATAAATTCATAGTAATAATTAGCCACATTTAATAAAATAAAAAATCTGCGAAATAGCAAGACTAGACATATACGTTGTAGACATAATACAAGTTCGGTGATTGCTCTCAAATAAAACAATACCAATTGTTTTATCAAAGAATAACCTAG